CTGTTCATTGTAAAGTGATCATGAATGACTTATGAAAAGTGAAAATTAGCAACTTAATTTTAATCATCTACTAGTAGTAACTAATRATATTCAATCATTTGTAGGGAGCACTGCTCTTCGACAAGGTCTCCCTTTTAACATACCAACTAGTGATGGTGAGATATGCAATTGTTATAAAACTYATCATTTCAGTCACTCATTACATAGAATTTAAATATAATTAAAAATGTGTSTGTATTTATCCCTTTGCTATTAGATACTGATGGCCTGATAAGCCAGGCACTGTTAACAGGAAACTTTGAAGCAGCTGTTGATGTTTGTGTGCATGAGGACAGAATGGTAATATAATCATTGTCGTGTTGGCAATGTCAGAAAAAAGATTTAAAAGTATGAATGATCRTGAATGATATGTACAATCTGGGACAGATTTCTTGTGATATTTACTTWAAAATTTTGATAGAGTCAATTTCGTATGACTGGGAAATGGTGATGATGAATGGCGTCCATATTGTAGCCGTATCGTAACCGTACCGTACTTATCAATACTGATTTGTCGACAATTTCAATGTTAACTTTTGATTGACAGATATACAATCGTAACTACAGTTTTTGATTGGATAAATACCGCATTTCATTCTAGAACAGATTGCTGTGTCGAAAGTCTAATCGCTCATTGGGTAAATACGGCGCTCGTTCTGTACTGTACTTTAACCACAATGTAAGCATGATTCCTGATTGGCTGAGAGACTTTCTACTGACAACTGGTATATTTCATCTTGCCACACAACACTAGTCGCCTGTTTTGGCGAAGTTTTTGACAGACAAAATTCTATCAGAAAAGACTTTTAGGATAAATGTCAATGGGAATCAGTCGAATTACCTTTTTTGCATTTGATCACTTTTAAGCAGTGAGAATATTTGCAATCCATTGTGTGAAAGCTTTCAGTTTGTCAAACTTTCAAGCAAACGCACATGGCTTGTTCAATCAGTAATTTTCAAGAATAACTTCACGTTCTTTTAATGSTTGCTTGACAATTCCCCTTTAMAAATGTTTTGTTGGGAAAATTAGCCTTTTTCATTTCGATTATCATTTATTTCTTGCGATTAACTTAAGAAAGGATCGAATGAATCCATATCTTTTCGTATACGTATTGTAACCATATCACGTCAGCATCGGTTTCCCAGTCATACAAAATCGCCACAATATTAAAAAAAAAAACTTTGGTAAAAGGCTAGTGTCTTGTTTAAGGTATCAGGGGAGCTTGGCGAACAAAGGTCAATTAACTTCTTGTGTAACGCTTACTATTAAAGATACCCCAGTAAAAGTATGCCGTACATTTTCTAAACGCTGAATAAATGGAAATTGTAACTATGTGATTTGTTTTTTTGATAAAAACGAATCAATTTTTTTTGAGTGGATATATTATGATTTTTGACCAATCATTTTTATAAGAAGTTCCTGGAACACCGGATTTCTTTGTGCTAATAAACTGTTACATCTTTAAAAACTGACATCTTTAGAAAGGTGTCTAATTTTTAACTCGAAGATTGCGAAGCAATCGAAGAGTTATTGGAGGGGGACGAATCTGTCACTCACTCACTCACTCACTTTCCTGTAAACTTGAGCCTGCGATACTTGTGTTCACAATTATTTATTATATTATTATTTTATAGTAATAGTCACTAATTTTTCTTTACTGGTTTCCCTGTGCTATTTAACAAATCAAAATTGCTTTTCTATGGTCTATACGCTTATCGACAATGAAAATGACGTGCGCTAGCRATTCATCATTTCAGCACGTGAGAATTCTACAAGTTATGGTAAAAATCTGATTGTCATGAATTCATTTATTTTTTGGCAAATAAAAATATCAAAGAAATATGTGTCATCTGGGACTTGAACCTTGGCCCGCTGGATYGGAAATCAAAGGCACTACCGATTCGGCCACGCTTTTCTATGGTCTGTATGCTTATCGACAATGATCATCAGAAAATGATCAAAACTCAAGTGGAACCACGAGCGTAGCTAAATTGAGTGCCGACAAGAACGATGCCCACATTTCATACATTGATGAAACGGCCAGAAGATTAGATGAAAGAATCTCAGAGATGGTGGAAAGGACAAAAAGTCCTCAATATTAAACACAGCTTTGAAACTGTTAAGTTAGAAAATGCTGCTATTTTGGCTTCAAAATTTAAATCATACAAACAAAGGAGAATCRCTGAAGCGCTATGTATAAAAGAAATAAAACCATCCTTGAATGAACAGGGACAGTCAATTCCCTTCTTTTGAACCAATTGTAATTATTCATGTAGTTCAGTATGCCATCGATGGCCTTTGGATTAAGGCCGAAATATATACATTAGTAAAAATGCTAAATCTTCTTGTAATCMTTTTTGTATTCAAACTCTATGCCCAAAAGAATATATTTAGCAGTCAAACGTTTTAAAACACAAACTGGAAAAAATAAATAGCACAAATCCAAAAACGAATTGCACAGTCTTGTTCCCCTCATTTTCCTCTTTAAGAAAATGTATACTTTTATAGTCATAGCTTGAATAGTTAACTTGCTATGAAGAATTAAGTGAAATCAGTCGCGAAGGTCCCCCTCTGATACCTTAAGTGACTTACTAGTGGCATCCATGATGCCATTTACACCGTAGTCTGGACAGATTGCTTTTAAGTTGCATAATAATATTAATCAGTATTTTTTTCATTCTTTACCTGATTAGGCTGATGCATTCCTTCTAGCCATTGCTGGTGGTCCTGACCTGCTGGCAAGAATACAGAAACGATACTTTGAGAAAAGCAAGAGCAATGTTGCCAGGGTAAACATTAAAATGATAAGCACTGTACATATTATAGCCGAGCACCATAGCAAAGAAAAAATGGGATTGAGTCCATTGATCATGGACTGACACAGGGTTCATGAGCATAAGCACCTTTCCCTCCATCTGTTCGCTGTCCATGTCGACGCCACCGCAGGAAAACCAAAGAATAAGGATTATAAATTAAAATTTTGCTTTTAAAACTTTTTCTTCAAAAATGGTTAATTCATGTATTAGAAAAATCAATCACAAGTCAAAAAGAAATTACACAGGAGAGGAAATCAAACAACAGAGTGAGATTCCTGCCAATTGTCATAACTGTATGTCGCTTTAGGAATAAGATAAAGGAAAACAGGATAACTTTTCGCTTTATGTTTTGAAAGAAAGAAAAAATCAAAATCCACTATCTATAGCATTTCATCTCAGTATTTCAGAGAGTAACATTTGTTGGAAKCTAGTTCAGGAATCAARGTAAAAACAGTTTGCTGTGATGTGAAGTTTGAGTAGGCCTGGTTCAAACATCGATCTTTTGCAATGTTTAATGTGATTGCTTGTATGTAGACTGTTTTTGGTTACAGTTGAATCTCTACTTACAGACGCTCCCGTWAGTGGACAGTTCTTCTTATGGACAGCGTTTCAAATTCCTGTTTTTCCTCCCATACAATCGGACTTTTTTTCGTAAGCTGATGCAGACACTTTTAGGGATTCCCAATTGATATTTTCTATTGTTTTCAATCTCCTGTAAGCAGACAGCACTGCTCAACACCTTTAGGGCGAGTACACCCTACTGTCAGGGTCTAGTTAATATGTATTAGTTCACATGTCAATAATAATCAATAATAATATATTATTAAAGTTGTTTACATTCCTTGAATCTGGGTACATCTACTAAAAGGCTATCCTTGAAATAGTAGTACTGCTCTCTTTGAACGACCACTCTCGTAAGCGACCTCCTCCCTCAAGTGACCACCTTTTAAATTTCCTGTTTTGTTTTCCATATGAACTCTTTGAAAAAACTCTCTYGTATAGGTGACCACTCTTGTAGGCGACCGCAACCACCTTTGGGATTGAAATTATAGAATTTTTCATTAGTTTTTTCTCCCGTAAACAACTACCCTCGACTGATGCAATAAAGGCGTGAGTTTAATTTATTTATAAAGCTTACACAAATTCCATTTCCAAAAACACTATAATTATTATAATAATAGTGTTACCATTGAAAACAATAGAACTAGGACATTAATATCAACTTYAACAATTTGCAGACTGGCATGGAAGCAGTATGATTGTTCAAAGATTTTATTACACTGAAGTACGAACAACATGGTTTTGAGCTATTTKGGCCTTCTGTGTTGTGATTATCATTGTTTGGGTTTCCTGTGCTAACGTTCTCGTAAACGACCATCTCTYGTAAGYGACCACTTTTTCCTGATGCCGAGGTGATCGCTTACGAGACAGTTGACTGTACTAGATATTCATTCTCTTCTATATTGCTAGTGGAGCTCTGCTATTAGGTGTTAACAATATCAAATCATGCCACATGTAACCACATCTTCTAATATAATGTGTTTCCCTTCCATCTAAAAGCTAATGTCAGTTGTTGTAAACCGTGACTGGAGAGATGTTGTAGAGAACTGTGTGCTACAGAACTGGAAGGAAGCCTTGGCAGCCCTTGTAACTTATGCCAAACCTGAGGAGTTCACTTCACTATGTGATCATCTTGGTCAGAGACTAGAAAAGGAGGGAGACAAACACTTTGCCAATGCTATGGTCTGCTATATTTGTGCTGGAAATGTTGACAAGTTTGTRGCTTGTTGGTAGGTGAACTTTAATTACATCTGCACTATAGAACATTGATAATCATAGCAGCTGCTATTTGAAAGAGCATAAAGTATATTATTATCAGAGAATGATGTACAACTGTGTTTTYGTATACGTTTATGTATACGGCACACTTTTTTCCCAAAAAAATCATTCAAAAATCGGGGGTGCAGCTTATGTACGAGAAAACTTGTAAAAAATCCCCCATATTAGCTAATTWATACATRAATCTAAAATYGGCTTTTCTATTTTAGGGTTCTGTTGTTTATAGAATGCATTTTAGATGCTTATAAATTCCATGTTGTGAGTTTTCATTCAGCATTCACTGTGCTACTTACTGCAGAGCGTTGGTGATGTTTAGGACTACATTCAGTAGTGTGATTAGAGATTTTAATGCAAACTTCTCAGTATTACTATMAATTCTCTGAAAATCTAGCTCTGAAAAAAAATCAAACTGAAAAGTGAGTAGTTATTGAGCCAATGAATGGAGAGCATTTTCAATCCTTTCGTCTTTGAGTTGTTTTGGTAACATGATGCTAATTTGCATAGCGACTTTGTCAGTCTTAAAGTGAAGAATTGAGGGTAAATATTTTGAATACCCAAGAAATAAGCCTACCAAATATTTTTCCTTATATTATACAAATACCATCTGCTTTCATATTTTTTTGAAATATGAAATTGTTTTCATAGCAATCACAAAAAGACAGCACTTCATGAGCCAATTAGAACTAATTCGATGAGAGTATTTTCGATCCTTTTGTTTGGAAGTTTGGGGGCCCGATGAGATATATATCACTTTTAAAATTACTAGTTTGCTTTTATCTTTCGAATGAAAAACAGCTCTTTATATAGTATCAATGATCAATCTAAACAATTATGGGGGGGGGACTATACCCTGTTCCAGAGTAAAATCGCTGAAAAGTATACCCTGTTCCAGAGTAAAATCGCTGAAAATGATATCCTGTTCCAGAGAAAATCCAGCACTCGCCAGCGTGTAGACCGAATTTCTACCCAGCATCAATAATAGTCTCCTTCACGGTTACCTGCGCCATCTTGAAAGGTAGCCGTGCCTTGTCATCGAAGCGAGACAACAGTTGAGCGTGCAATGATAGAAACCTTCTTTCACACCTACAGACAATTATTCACAGGTATCTATCATTGCACGCTCAACGGTCGTATAGACTATTCCGGAATTAAACCCTGACCCTGTTCCAGAAAAAATTCCTTGAAATCTATACCCTGTTCCAGAGTAAAATCGCTAAAAATGATGCACATTTCCAGAGTAAAATCGCTGAAAACGGGTGTCTACACAAAAAACTTCAAGAGCATCATACATCGCACCTTTTAAACTGATCGTAATTGCATACGCAATGGATCATGGAAATCGAGCAGCGGGAAAGCACATTAAAATCCTTGAAAGCTGTGTGTGATCACAAAGAGAAAAAGTTTATTTTTCATCTTTTTTCCCCTAAAAAATGTTGAGTAAATAACAGTTACTCTTAAAAAAACTTAATTATTAACATTTAATGATCATAAAGTTGTTATTATAATAATTGCAAGTGGCAGTTCATTAAACATTGAATTATTGTTTTTAGGTCAAGAAGTATGCCATCTGAGCCATCTCCACTCGCTCTTCAGGTAGTTTTTCTTACCATACTGTATTGGTCACAAATGTCAAAATATTGTGTGTTTTTTTGGGTAATTTTAATTTTGCTTGTTGCAGACATAACAGTAAATATTTCGGAACATCTTTTAGTTAATTGATGTAACTTTTTGATGTTTCAATTTGAGTATATTTTTTAATATATATTTGAAGTATATGTATTAATAATATAGCTTTAAAACACTCAATCATATTATCATTTATAAAGTTTTGTACAAGTGTTTTAAAAGTATATGTTTAAAACACGAGAGAGAGTGTTTTATCATGTAAACCTGATAAGTTTAAACGGCTTAAAAAACTCCAACACTAATTTGAAACTCAAATTCATGGAAATTCTTGGAGAAATTGCCGTAAAAATAAGTTTTGAAATAAATGGGACAAACTGATCATGTGCAAATCATTTTACAAAACACTCTTGTCRCCCAACATTGAATACGCATAAAAGTAAAATAGAAGTGCTGATGGCTGTTTTACTGCAATTGGTTGACATCCTGCATTGGTCAATGATCAGGTATCAAACCTGAGACCTTTTCTAGGGTCATGGACCTTTATTACGTTCTGTTGTGTAAAAGGTAATTTATCTTTCTACACAACTGTTTCTTTAGAAACATAGATGCAGCTCAAACTAGTTTACTGCTAGTTCCCACCATTTTTTCTTTATTATATCTGATAAAGGTCACCCTTATTAGTATTCTTTATAAAAAGAATACTAATAAGGAGATATTATCAGATATAAAAGTTTATGCACATGACCAAATAGGCTCATGCTATTGGCCTAATAACTCGTTAATTCAAGAACTTCAACAGTAAATATTTGAAACTCAAACCCGTTATGAGTTTTGGGCAAATGTTTGTAGAAATAAGTTTTGAGATAAATGGGGCAAACTGGTTGTATAGGCATAAAGAAAAATAAAGCACATTGTATAGGCATAAAGCAAAATACTGTAGAAGCCCTGGTGGCTGTTTCTCTGCAATCAGCTGACATCCTGCATTGGTCAATGGATCTGATCCAGGCCATTAGAATACTATAAAGTTAGAATACTGTACTTTATAAATAATACTAATAAGGAGTCTTTTATCAGATAATAAAGGTCCATGCATGTGAACAATTAGGCTCATTCTATTAGCCTAATAACTCAGTAATTATGTATGGGTTTTTGAAATTCATTATAAACATGATTTTATTTATATAGGAATTGGTAGAAAAGGTGATGGTCCTGAAAAAGGCTGTTGAGAGAGAAAGAAGGCTTATGGTTGAAAGCGGATCAAATGCATTGGCCGAAAAACTCAGGTATTACTATTTTTTAACTTAAAGATTGTGTAAGCAGTTGAAGAGTTATTGGAGGGGGACGATCACTCACTTTCCTGTAAACTTGGTACTATATTATGTAACACTGCTCAAGTCCTGTTGGCCTTAATTTTTTTCTTCTTTCTTTTTGAGTTTTTCCAGAGATTTTCTTTTCTCTTTTTTTTAATAATCATCATAATTGGGTTTYCTGTGTTATATTCTGTGGATGTAGATATATAGCTGACACATATCTGACAATCTCTGCTATTGGCAGCTTGATTAKTAATAGAAATTGGAATTAAGAAGGATGTACATATAGTATTGGTAATTTAAAATTCTGTGAAAAAATGTTAAACTTCGGGCTCCTTGTAAAGAGGGAAGTTTTTGTGGTTACTCACGTCCTTAAGGAYGTATAGTATCCACTATGTTATCTCCCGATGTAAACAATCCAAGAATGTCCACATGACCTTTTAGGTCAAAATTTAGATTTCTATCGTTTTGAAGTCGTTGCAGAGNTAAAAAATATAATATTCTACGCCATGGTATAAATTCAAAAATAGCTAGTCCGACTTCACGCTCCAAGAGCATCTAGTTTTTAACTATTATAGGTTTCAAAGTCATTGCTTGGGCTCCCTGTGGGTTTGCTGTGCTGGGTCTCAAAAAGGGAGCTGTGGCTAGATCTGTAGAGACTTTTACAAACCAAAAACTCGAAAATGCTCAAGATGTAGGGTGGCCGATTTCAAAAAACGTAGAATTTCGATTTGCAAAAGATGATTTCGACCCTAAAACTGGAGACGAAAAGACCTTATTTGTGCACCAAAAAGTCAAAATTTGGGCATTCCTATTTTTCAGCGGTCCATTTTGCCCAAGTATCGCGCTTGATGTGAAATCTTATTAACTCTAAGATTGAGTTATATTTCTAGCTGTTGTCATGGAGTACATTTGGTGGTCTACTTTTGCGATCTCGGAAACTTGTAATTTTTAGAAGCATCGTTCCTGCGGGAACGATAATCCCTAAAGCGGACRTTAAAGGGTTAATGTTGGTGAAGAATAAATTGCTTTGTCCTAGTGACAAACATCTGTTAGTAAATACATCTAATAACAAAAGAYATTGTCAAAAAGAAATAGAAAATTTCACAAGACACAAGAAGCAGGGGCAAATCCAAGGGGGGATGCCAGGTGGTCTGGGCTCAATGGTTTTTATTTTCAAATTATTCATTTGAATAAAAGTAACAATGGGCAATGTTTTTACAATCAGGTATCCTTATAGTGAAAGAATATTTTTCATATTTTATTRCAGTAAATATTCAACCATATTGGCTGCACAGGGCTGTCTGGAGACTGCCATGGGATACCTTATGGCATCTGGAGATCAGGTATAATGCAGTGATCTTTGATTGTTAATAACACTGTATTAATTTCTCATCATTCATTATTTTATTCATTAAAAAGAGCGAAATGTATTTACACAATATTTTAAAATTGCAGCTAGGATGTTGCATGATAAGAAATTTGAGTCGTCTCTAGCTTGATAATGAGATTTATTGCAGACGTTTTGACCGCAACTGCGATCTTCTTCACAGCAGTGGCAAAAATGCAAAGTGTGCACGCGCGACTAACGGTTTACACAAAGAATAATTATGATTAGCACACGCGCTGTTTAAAAGAATCTAACAAAGTTTTATATTACGCGGGGATTTGAGTTCTAAAGTTCCCGGAATGTTCGTCAAGCTCAGAATGCCAAGCTTCAAGGAAAAGTCTTTGATGGTAATTACGTTCAGTAACGACTGCCTTTGAATTGCCGAAATCCATTTCATGGCTTGTGTCATTAACATGCTCAGCAATTTTCGATGTCATGGTGTTCTGGCATATCGCTCGCTTGTGTTCGCTGACGCTGGTTTTTAAWGATCWATCCATCTGTCCGTAATATACAAAATTACAATTTTTACAGTGAATCTTATAAACCAAACCCGTGGTAAGAAGTGAGTTCTTACTTCATTTTTACCACTGCACTGAAGAAGACGCAGGTAGCCCAAGCACTGGACTTGGCAGTGAAGAACGAAAAGTTCGATAAAAGTGGTAAAACTGAATAAAATTATTTCAAACTACAACATAGTGCTCTTCTTATTTTTCTCAACGCCCCTGTGAAGTTTCAGCTCATTATGGTAAACATTCCCCTACTTATATATATTATGACAAGGTTGGAGACAAACCGACAAAAAACACAATCGACACGGCTTCAAATTCAAGCATTTATTTGCCAAAAAAACACTTGCCGTTCAAATTGACTGYCATYRCACATTTGGTKATRCATAAATACATCTTAATTTTGATGTCTTAGAGGCCTACCTGCTCTTGACTATGCACTAAAGCCGTTCAAACACGAAGATCGACTCTCCAAAACAGGAAAAAGGCGCAACTCTCCATACTGTGGTCAGCAAACGAAAGCCAAACGAAAGCCAAACGACCAAACGTGCAACCCAGGCCCCTTGACCGTTGATTGTCTGTTGGCTGGCCACAATATGGAGAGTTGCGCCTTTTTCCCGATTTTTGGAGAGTTGATCTTCGTGTTTGAACGGCTTTAGTGCATAGTCAATTTGAAGGACAAGTGTTTTTTTGGCAAATAAATGCTTGAATTTGAAGCCGTGTTGATTGTGTTTTTCGTCGGTTTGTCTCCAACCTTGTCATAATATATATAAGTAGAGGAAAGTTTACCAGCTGAAACTTCACAGGGGCGTTGAGAAAAATAAGAAGAACACTATGTTGTAGTTTGAAATAATTTTATTCAGTTTTACCACTTTTATCGAACTTTTCGTTYTTCACTGCCAAGTCCAGTGCTTGGGCTACCTGTGAAGAAGATCGCAGTTGCGGTCGAAACGTCTGCAATAATCAATTATCMAGCTAGAGACGACTCAAATTTCTTATCGTATTTACATATTATTATATAATATAATTTATTCGTATTAACATTAWTTTTTTGTTTATCTGCTCATTCATTCCTCACCATTAGTTAATCATACTGGTAGCAATAATTACAATTTCTATTCACTTACAACAATATAGTGCATTTATCCCTACCATCAATTCATTTATCCCATGCTATGTACTATTTATTTTGTTTTTAGCCAAGTCTAGCAGTATTAAAGGACCGTTTGTTCCATTCGCAACATCCAAGTCACCTGACAACCTCCACAGCCCCTCCTCCTTTCCCATTTCAAAGGATGAATGTGCTTGCAGAACCTTCAGYCCAGTCACAGACAATGCAGCAGCAACAGAAGCCTGGCTATGGAATGATGCAGCAAAAGGTTGTGCAGCCACAAAATCCTCCATTCCAACCAACCATGCAGTCAGAAGCTTTACCATACCAGCCTCACCCTACTCCTCCACTGTCATCATACCAATCCAACCCCTCTCCCCCACAGCAGACATCTTTCTACAACCCAGCTCAATTCCAGCAGCAACCATATCAGGCGCCAGCTGGTCCACCCAAACCATACCAGCCTCCTAGTGCTCCACCTACAGGTCAGATACCTTCATTTAGTACCCCAGGTACACAAGCTGTGACCCAACCATCWTGGTCTCAACCACCTCCAGTATCTATGTACCAACCACAGATTCCTTCTCAACCACCACAATCACAGCCGAAGCTACCACCAACAGGGGGTAGTATGGCAGCACCACATATGTACAATCCAGCCTCACAAACTGTACCTGGTTATACTGGTGGTATAACACCAGGGGCACCACAGGCTAATGTTCCATCACCGACTGGACCACCCCCTGTTGGACCACCTCCTTCATCAGGTAACTGTTCTTTTTTAGTGTTGATATTGCTATATTCTTGGAATTCCTAGAAATGAAGAATATCTCACATCATACAATGGTATAAATACTTTGTATCTTAATGGTAAACAAGAATGTACTATTGTTCTAGGTGGATGGGAMACCCACATGCTTCACAAGAAAAAGCAGGTATGTTCAGCATGTCATATTGTTACTTCATTACATACAAAGCATTGCACTTGGCCAGGATTGGTTTCATATTATGTCCCTGTCCCTCTAACCTCACCCTTACCCCAGAAAAGATGCTGGCCCTCCTCTCCAGTCACCTTGTCCTTTCMTGGACACTTTCAAGTTGTACCTGTTTGTCCTCTTGACCCCTTGTCTCTTGTCCCTGCCAAGCATTATGGGGCCCAAAGCTAACGTGAACTKGAGGTCAGCTTGGGATATTCTAAAAGGCCTTAAAAAATCATGGTGACTTTGTAAGGGTACAATGTCAATAATGTGTGAAAATGGGAACTCATTACAGTGAAAGTTGGTAGTGCAATCACTACCTTTAACAAGATTTGTAATCTTTAAAGGTTTTTCTTCAGTTGCAGATCCTGTAATGTGAGTTTGTTTTCATGTGTTTTTGACACTTTTTTTCAAGGCTGTTGATTATACACCACCTGCCCCTATTACAATGCCTTTGGTTGGTKCTCAACAACMACAACAACMAYAMCAAYASCMACAGCAGTACCAACAACAGCAAGGTACAAAGAGTATATGAACAAATAAGTAGACAAATCAAGTATTAAGTGAGGTTCTCTATTTGACGCTTTGCATAGAAGATATTACATGGGCACACGGAGATGGATTTTATCTCCAAGTTTTGAAAAGATGTCTCACGAGTAAGCGACCATGTACATGAATTGYATTTAGCTCTAATATAGAGAGGAAGCTCGTAATTGAGGAATATCTATTAGGTATTTCAAAAGATKTATTGTATAACACAGTGACTAGACTTCCATGAGCCAGAAAAAAGTGGCATGCTGAACTAGTTATCAGGTGGATGAATGAGAGAACAGTTATCGAAAAAATACTTAGGGTCCATAACCATAAATGATTGTTTTTCCGTTACAATTACTGTTTCAGCTCCTCAGTTAGGTGGCCAGCTTCCCCCAGGATATAATCAACCCAACATGATGTCACAGGGAGGTCCACCTGGAGCTCCACCCAGCTTTTCAAACCGCTCAAGYAGCATTGCACAGGTATATGATGAATGTCAGGGGGATGGCAGCCCATCACCTTTACCCAGTGATGGCATGTTAATACCACTCCCGTATACCACCATGACAACAAACACATGGATGTACCAACAGCCGGTACATTTRCAGAAACAAGACTCTTATCTTACTAGAGACCATTGTTATTGACGGACATCATTTAATACTAACAGTCGTCTAAACAACCATTTCATTTAACATTCGTTTGCCTGCAAATAAATCTCGAAGGCATTATTATTTAGATATCATATAAGTCAGGCTGATGACCCTCTCTCCGGACAATGGGAATTTAAAGCCTGTTAAAGATTAAAGTCACGCAATAACAGAGTTAAAGCATTTTAATATTTATCTAAAACTATTCTATTAAACATGGAAATGTCAAAATATTATTTGCTTTTTAGACTTGGGTTGATTTAAATCAATTGATGATCTCGTAATAAAATGGTTTAAGTTATAACATTAAATAAATCTCTGGCAATTTTGTCCGAAAAACATTTTGTTTGTTTGCTAAACAACCTTATAAAACTGTATGCATTGCGTGTAAGACATGAAAGAAGTGGCACATGTCAACCATATAATCAATGCAAGAATGTAATTTAGTTGTTGAGTCAATTGTTCCTGAAAACTGGACAAAATACAGATGAACGGTGCAAAACTATSTGAAGACAGACAGAAACCAACAGAATGACACTTGTATTGACAGTAAGATCAACTTTGTTGTTTGGTGTATTGTGGGGTTATCATAATCTAGACAAGTTTATTAACTCATCCAAAAAGGGCTTTTCAGAATTAATTTATAATGTACTAATATTAATTACAATCATCGACAAAGATAAAAAATATAGAAAATTGTTGTTAATCTTTTTTACATGAAATCAATAAGTTTCTTGCATAACCTATCATTTATAACTCCTGTARAGATGTCAGAGCACCGGAAGTTCTTTCATAGTATTATGTTATTAATATAGTCGTGAAATGTGTAGACCTATATTAGTGGTTAAGTGGGTAAAATGGATATTGGTAATCATATTGAATATAATACTAACTGTGTGTCTGTGATTTAAAGGAGAAGACTGCTGAGGTTGTTAAAGGTCCAATACCTRGCGAGCATTTGATATTGCAAGATACCTTTGATGGGCTGGTGCAACGTTGTAAGACTACTGCTAACAACCCTGTAAGTAGTAATTGACAAATATCCAATCGAACCGCGACAATCAAAGCGCCTTTCTGGATACCGGGACATCGCAAAGTAATATTTCGATCTTGCTTGTGTCATAGGACAGCGCTTGGTTGAAACGCGGTCACGTTTTCCATTTTTCCTGATTATATATTCATTTATTTTAAAATCGACCTTCGATGCGTGTTTTTAAAGCGTCTAGATTGTGTTAAAAAAATGAATGGAGAGAGCACGCATTAATTGATTGCCTGATTGCCTTTCCAACAGCAAACCAAACGAAAGCTGGATGATGTTTCCAAGCGTCTTGAAGCCCTTTATGATAAACTAAGAGATCAAAAGGTACATAATCTCATACACTGTAGGATACTAATTTATTGAGCTTTGTTCAGCTTTCTTGCCGTACTTTGTTTGAACTCAAAATACGAATATAGAAGGAACGAGACAAGGAGACAGTATTCATTCGGGACTTCTAGCGTAGTTTCTCTTAAAGAATTAAGTTGCAAGTTTATCGCCCGGACTTCCGAGTCTCAGAATGTCTTTGTCACAATTGCTTTTCTTTTTTCGGTTTTAGAAGTTCCTTCTTTTCTCTCTTGACTCAGAGATCTTCTTTTGTCGTTTTCTAATCGGTGCTATTGTTGTTTCTATAGCTTGCAAAGCCAGTCCTTGGAGGTCTACATGATATTGCCCAGGGTAAGTTGTATAATTCGTTGATGATTCTAAAATGCATAGWAACTATGTTAAATGGTATAATGTGAAACTGATCTAGTATTAATTGTTCCCTGCAAAAAATGCCCAGTCAAAAAGTTAAAGCTGCGTTGATCAGATCATTTTGTCAGAAAGCTGTTGCAACTGACAAATGCTATCAGCTACGTCAGTAGCAAGATAAAAGTAGCATGTAAAGAAGGGATTTGCTAAATTGTCTAGACCTTTGTTCGTAATTTGATGTTTTATTATTTGACAGCTTGCAAATCATCGGATTATCCCCATGGACTGATGGCACACACAAGCCTCATTTCCAGCGGTAGCTTCTCCGAGATCAGCTCGTTCATGCCTGGACTCAAGTCTTTAATGCAAATTGCCACGCAATTACGAGTTTAAAAAATGAAGAATTATATTTCATCCAAAAGCTAGCAGAACGTTGTCTTAAACTGGACATTGGTTTAGTTTGGCTGCGTTCTTCTGGGTTTTGAGTTTTACACTGTAATGTGAATTAGAAATAAAAAATAATAATTTGAAAGTCGGTGTCCGTTCTTCAACTCTGGTTCTTGTGTGCTTATTTAGCAATTTATGTAGAAGAAGAATATAATGTTAATTAACTATTTAGTAATCGAGTTTTACTGCGTTACTTGTCCGATGGCCAAGCACATCACGACATTATGTTGATCTATTTGTTTCCACATAGAATATTATTCTGGTTCAGTCATTTTTATTAACATGATATTTTAATAAGGTATGGATGCCCGACTCCGACCGGAATCTTCTCCGGCACGCAGTGGCATATTAGTCAGGGGTTGGTACCCTGCACCCAGACTGATTATTTGGGGAGGGTGGGTGGGTCGCATTCCGCGTTTCTGGCCTGACTTTAATCGAATAATGCAGGGACTGCGTGATTCTAATTTATATGGCCATTGCAACCAATGATAATTTAGAGAGTTTTTAAACTCATCACGAGTTTTTAAAAGCATCACGTTTACGGCATAMGGCTAACGACAGAGCTGTACCAATAACCTACGAATTTTGTGCCTGACCCTGTGCTTAGTCATTGGAAATGGCAAACTCAAAATAACCCACTTTCTCGTTGAAACAGTAATGGTGAAACCCCCAAAAGCAGGTCACGTGATCTTTTCTGCCGTAATAAACGATTTTCTGTCGACCGCGCCTAAATGACGGTTATAACAGCTATAAATCATCCAATATTGAAGCCAGAAACTTCACAGAAATGTAACGATCCGTTACGGTACAACTATCGAATACCCCGCCACTCAAACCCTCTACGTGTAGCCGGCTACGCTAGCCACGTAGCCACTTCATAAAGATACTGCCTCGTTCTAAAAAGACAGTGAGACCGGTAGCTCACTTCTGACTCCGTCGCCGCGTAGCCACTTCATAATATTTGCCTCGTTGTTAAAACACAGGGAGACCGGTAGCTCACTTATGACTTGATTTTGAGCTGTAGCCGTAGCCATCGTCAATAATATGAGGGTTTTTTTTTTGCGGGGTATTCGATATTTACTCCTGAAAAACACAACACGCAGATAGAGATTTTTATTTTTATTGAAATTTATATATTTCCAAAAATTCCTAGCCTGCGTTTCCCCCCTCCCCCCTCCCCTAGAGCCGCCACGCAGGCTAAAAAATTCCATAAACGACATACCTGAACACCTACCTTGGGATACCTGTGGTTYGTAGCTAGACGTGCGTAGTCAGTATTTAATTCGCATGACGCCGGCCATGAACTGATGCATCCGATCATCAAGTCGTTGGATTTGTACAGGATTGCTTCAATTGATTTMTCGTAATTCTTCCGATTTTCTCGCTATGCCACTATACTATAGTCTTATCGCWAGAGGAACAACCATCTTGGTGGATTATGCAGAAACGACCGGAAATTTTCAACAAGTTGCAGCTAGCATTTTGGAGAAAATCCCTTCTCGCGATACAAAGTGCACATATTTGTCGGGAAGGTAAGCTGACTTCAGCTTGACTCATTTGTTATGCCTCGTGAAATTGTTTTCTGGTTGTAATTATTATAATGAACTACCTTACTGACATGGAGTCACATTGCTCTCACTCAAGTGCGAGTTAACTTCAAGCTTACCTTTAGTTTGATAGACTTAAGCAACATAGAGATATTTCGTTTTTTCGTCCGCCATTTTTAGGCTCGCAAAATAACAAGGGTACAGTGTGAAATCGATGTCCAATAATACCAGGTGAATTTATATTCTGAAAGAATCTAGAAAGAATCAGTAAATTCCAAAAAACTTGCGACACTCGCGTCACGCAACGATGACCCCGGAAGTTATAGTTAACTGTATGGAGAACTAAACGAGTTTACTCGCTCCCTAGATCAACTAAGTCGTATAAAATTCGCCAGTTAACTCCTTTTCGTAGTATCTAACGTTTAAAGTTAATGATTCATTCAAAATAAAAATTCAACTGGAATTATTTGACATCCTTGTTATTTTGCGGCTCTATGCCTACACAAACAAAATGGTGTCAAAACCGTCACGTCATCTAGTAACCTAATACATGTAAGTTAATGTCAACGGCTAATGTCAGCGGTATGCTGACGCAGGAAAGACTCTGGAGGAATCGACTGGATCTGCGACGCAAATTATGCAAATGAGGTCAACTTTGTTTTCTGCTTTTTAGAGAATCAAAATGACAAAAAAAGAAGAAGGTTTAGCACACAACTTTAGGAATGGTATTCATAGTTCCGACAATTCAAATGTGTCATTCGCGCGCACAGAATTGGCCAATCAGAAAAGAGGACACATAATGGCAGCCATGTTGTCCCACAAATAATTTAAAGTGCAAATGAACTCTATTTTTTCCAAACTTGAGTAAAATCAACATGAAAAAAAGAAAACATTTTTTGGTTGTTTCATTAAAATCAGTTAAAATCTCATTTTTTKGGGGACCGCAAAACATACTGTTTCCCGAGGTTTCCAGTAAATAAGTGCTTTATTATCATATCAAGTGTCAAAGTGAGCAAAAAAGGTAAATAAATGAATTGTTTTTATTAAAGATTTTGATTTAAGGAATAAAAGATGAAATTCCGTGTTTGATACTCTGATCAAAACATTGTTTTTCTGCGACTTTGTACTTATTGACRGTCCACAACATATTATTGACCGCGAAACCTTGACCGCTGGTGGACAGTTGCCRGGAAACAGTAAAATTTTGTGACTTTCACGTGGTACACTCTCGACCAATAAGATACYAGGAAAAGTGAACTTTGACACTTGATRTATAATTAATAATGATTGATATTTCTCATGTTGGTAGGCGGAAAAAAATTGCCTAATTGCTTCGCAATCTTCGAGTTAAAAACTAATCTAGAAAAATGCTTGAAATGGATCCGAAGATGTGCGGACAAAAGCACAAAGTCCTAATGTGTTAATGCATAATAATTAAATCCTTTCTCTAGGACTTTGTCAATTAAAGAAACAGAAATATTTTCGGGATTTTTCTCGTCAAATCATCAGAAGACTGTGTCATTTGCGRAAACTCGAAAGCATTTGTGGGACAAGCCGGGCAAGCCACGAACTCTCGATTCCAATGCTTTCTTCAGATTGTCTAATCACACGCTCGCGCTTGATTTGACGGAAGCATGAATTGACACCTTTTTAAAAACAAAAATGGGTGAAAACAGGTATTTTTATACGATAAAAGTATGATATTTTTGACTAAACAGGCGAGCATGCGCTGGCAACTTGAAAACAATGCGCATCATTTTCAACCAATCGTGAATCGAGAAATAACGCATTCCCCCAGAGTCTCTCATGCATTGCCTTCGGCTGGATGAATAAGTTACACTTAGTGGGATATAAGCTAGGTTAATAAGTGCTTTTAGTCAAACTGTGAAAAACAGAGTAAATTAGTAAAAAAGCGCCAAAGTATTAGCTGTCAAGAAAATCAGGGGGGACATAAAAAACTCCACYAAAAAGTTTTTAACTAGATGGCGAAGGTTCAAGAGTTTATTTCTTCCACAGTTCTAGAGGGCGCTATTTCTGAATATACAAACTTCAAATSTATGTAAAATTGATAACGACGTGTCCGAGTAGGCGAAGAAGAATTAAAATTAAATATGCCACCTAAGTTATTTAACTCCGTCAACATGAAAGGCCCTATGGAGTACATATTGCTAACATTTTCCAAGAGCTTCCAAAAGAACAGATCCAGGTTTTTTGAGTATTAAACTCAAGGTTCGAGAACAATAAAGTGCATTTCACAAAACTATTATTTTTTGACGGTTAGTTTACATACAGCCCAGTTGAAAAAGGCTAACTCAACACAGCTCCCCCTGATTTTCTCCATGGTTGCTTTGGTGCGCTTTTCTAATTTATGTGACGTCACCTAACTAGTTATTTGTTAACTAAGTTTTTCATAGTTTGACTAAAAGCACTGACTAATTTAATATGATACATTTATTTAATCATCATGCAAATTGAATACATACTGAAGTTTACCAGTGATATAAGTAACTAACAAAATGTTGAAAAAATTTGGAATGCGGAAATCAGGTGATTTTTGGTATTTCTTTTTATTGTCTTGGTCTTGTTGTTTTGTGTGAAGTTTGTTGTGCTATTGTATGAGTGCTAAGTTCATAATGCTGTATTGTAGGTATTGTATTCACTTTTAGTTTGTGATTTATAAATTCAAAGTGTACATGATAATCATGTGTACACATGCAGGGTACAGGACAAGGAGCCCGCCACTAAGAACGGCTGCGAGGAGACTAGCAGGGTACCTAACAGAAGTCTAGTTTTGAGAGGATAAAGATCAACATCCAGAGGCACTGTGTTGTAGTAATAACGCTGATACTACATTTTGATTTTGTTTAGATATTTTGCAACATTTAACTATCATTTTCAGCTCCCTTTTGAGTAAATTAATCATTGAGAATAGACAAGGATTGGGAAATTGATTTTAAAATCTAAAATCAGGGGTTAGGTGCACTTTAACTCCAGCAACAAATGGTTACCCCAGACACTACTGGGAGGTGTTTTTTACTTGCAATGGGCCCAGGCTCTAGGCCGGGGCACGAGGTATAAAATGCAATGCATATAATTATATGAATTTTCCAAGGCAGAAGTTTGYCTTTGGGTCTCCTGATCGCCCACCAATCTCTATACGAAATATCACCTTACAAACTAATATACTGTAAACAATCGTATCATAGAACAGTTAATTGCCTGGGAGTTACTGTGTAGCTTTTATAGCAATTCTTTGATATTTGAGGTCTTCTGTTATTCCAAAATATTCATCTGTGTAAGAGTAATGTATTTATTATGACATTGGTTTAGGTCATAAACATTGGTGTATGGAATCAAATAGTGCATTTTCCTTCTTGGCGAGATATAAACCGATACTTCATAGCATACAACGTGGCTGTCTGATTCTGAGTTGAATAGCCTAAATTTTCCAATTTGATGAGGGATTTTGTGTCTTCTGGATTAAAGAAAACAATGCTAGTCATGCAGGAGTATTCCTAAGTGAAGATTGAAGCGAATGGTTTTATTGAGCGGGATAACCTGATCTTGTTGAGATTGCTGGCACGTCGCTAACTATCACTCAGGCACTTTGCAAACTGTCTAATTTTGATACTGTGGTATACTTGACCTTCAAATTACTACAATAATTGAATTCTCTAATGCTGTGTTAGCGTCATTTGTGCGCAAAATATTCCTAATAATTGCAAGAATAAAAGTGTGAGATTTCAAATCAATTTTATTGTTTTTCTTCACCAATTCCATGTGTTTTCTCGGGCTATCGGTAAAACAAAAGAATATGTTACTTGGTTTTGAGACTAACACCGAGCAAACCAGAATATTAGAATAAGTATTAGAATAAGTCCATAGTTTTACTTTCTTTCACACGAAAGACTATCAGACTAAATGATTTGAGTCACATCGCTTTCCAAYTTTTGGGAAACAAATTGACATAGACATAAACCCAAGATTCATGCTTAATTAAACTCCAAACACCATGATCTTCAATCTTTCTGTTTAACGTCAAAAAATGCAGCTAATTTCTTTGAATTCTGTTTTAGAAGTCAAGCCTTATCATACAGTTTGCTTAACCTAATTAAAACTTTCGATGAAAATAGTGTCAGTCCCCAAGAAGAACCAATTTACTACTGATTTCAAACCCTAGAAGGGAAGACCATGAGGACCCCCATTTCAAAAGAGCATCACCTTGACTCAGTTATTGTACTATATAATACAGTTATAACAAATCTAGATATTTCATTATCAGTTAATAATTTAATGATTTTGTTCACAGCTATCAGTTTCATGTCATTGTAGAGGATGGTTTAGTATTCCTTTGTATGGCYGAGAAGGAATTTGGGATGATGCAACCATATGGGTTTTTAGAAGAGGTTTGTTGATACATAATCAGTAAGGTTGAGGTTATGTACTGTCAATCTCACTTTGACATATGTTGCACTCAATTCCTCCCCTTCAAGCATTAATGTTGTTAAGCACTTAAAGAGCATCCAAAACAGAGAGAGCATCTCTAAAACTTTGATTGAGTAGTGCTAGGAGAAAGCAAGCAATTTTTATGAATTCTGTGCAGGTCACAAAAACACCTATCAACAACAATTTTCAACTCTTTTTTTTCAAAGATTGAGGGGTGGCTTAATGCTAAACAACTCTACCATATTTGATAACAGAGTAATTAATAACTGTTTCATTTTTTTTTATTTTCTTATTTTACATGTATATGATTTCATTTTTATCAGAAACTCATAAGGGGATTATGAGTTTCTGTTTTTATACATTATTCAACCATTTGCATTATCATAATGGTTCATGCTGATTGTTCTATTTATCGCTCATAGATTATTTATGAGTTTTTTAACTAACATAATATATAACTGTAACCATGCAASTATAAGTATAGTTTACAACATGAGMGGCCGTGTTGTACAACACGGACGCRAATGTTGTAAACGACTTATAAAACTGCAACACTAATTAACATGAATTACAGTGAGATAATTGACGAAAAATGACAATTAAGATAACTGCTGACTTTAGTCGCTATAAAGCATGGCTGCGCAATTTACTGCAACMCAGAACATTTTGAATGATTATCCATTCCACATGGAAAGCAAGCCATCTGTTGCATAAGCAAGTTCTGTTATCCGTCTTTGATTGCTTCAAAACCTAGTGAAGGTCTATGATGCCATACTAAAACTGAGACATTTGCTAGTGTTGGGTTGTCTCAAGGTGACGACTGTGTTGTAAATCGTATACAACACTAGTGTTGTATCACTGACAGTGTTGTATTAGATTTRCAAGGTCAATCACCTTGGACAGMCCTTATTGGAGTAATAGCTCATGCATTATTAATAMGTTTTATAATATAATGCACAAGACATTCATTCTATTGATGGGATCTTGTTTTCATATATTAATAGATTAAAAGGAGATTTTGCAATTCAAGCCTGAAACACAGAGCACAACATGCACATGCCTTTGAGTTTAAGAGAGATTTTGCACAGGTTTTAGCATCACAAATGGTAAGTAAGCTGTTAGATAATGATGAATCACCTCACATGTATATCAGAAAACAACTAACCTCCTTACATTTCGTTTGTTTCATGCCCGGGGGTGGGGGGTGGGGGGAGGGTACTCGACTCCATTTTGGATAGGTACGTGCCGCAAGCGGTCTAAAACCCTTACCCTGTTTAAGACACTAGAAACTAAAAATCCATACCCTGTTACTTAGGTAAATCGGAATCGCTATCTATGCAGCAACCATCAAAACTGCAATTATACTGACAACCATCAAAGACAATAAGATTAAGTTTTTGACAACATGTCCATCCTGCTACAGTGAAACAGTATTTATTGTGAAAATATTATCCTGTCCAAGACACAGAAAAAAATTATATCGGTATTTTATCTTAATTGTAGACCCTGTAGGTAGAGCCATGGCCTTAAGCCCCAGGGTTTCTCAACACCATTACAGCAACCATTATATGCACTTGCCCTGCCATAAGAAAACTTCAAGTGACAGCCAACACAATATTATGTTTTTGGCCCGTAACTTAGAGAGTGTTTGTCAGATTCTTCCTTTBTCATAGGCATTTATAAGAGATGTTTTAGAATTGATGTTTTCTTTCTTGCAGACAGCATATTCTGAACCAGAAGGACCTACAAGTGATAATCTTGGTAAAGTAAAAAGAGAAGTTCAGGATGTCAAGAATGTCATGACAAAAAATATTGGTAAGAGCTCATTATTTGTGTTAAGTGTTAAGTGTAAAGAAATATACAGGTGGTGTGTCTCTCTGATTAACAATGTTGTGGCCAGAGTTTGAGAACAGGATACAATTATACAATAACTTTATTAGATCTCCCGAAACAGGATCTTCCAATCCAATTTACAATTTACAAACATAATATATAT